TGTGGTGAGATCCTGTAGATCCTATACTAAAAAAAAAAGAAAAATTCTAAACATTGAAATCTGGAAAAATTGAATGTTTCAATTCCCAAAGGAATAAGGGCACCAGAAGAGGAGGGAAGACCGGATTCTGGAGCTGTGGTTCGTGCATTTTCATTCATGTGCCACATGGCTGCATTGGTTAGGGGCGGCACGTTTCTAGAAACCTGGGAAAGCATTGTGCCCTGTGTGGCTGTGAGGATGTTTGCAGAGATTAGCCTGGGCGTTGAGTGAAGTAGGTGGGAAGGCTCCTGCTCCACATGGGTGGGCACTGCCCACTCAGTTGGTCAGCAGAGAGCAGAGGTAGGAGAGAGGTTTCTCTCAAGAGCTGGGCATCTTCTTAGGCTACCTCGGACAAAAGAGCCCCAAGCTTGCTAGCCTTTGGGCTCCAGGACACCACCATTGAGTTCTCAGGGCTCCAGGCTCTGGAGCTCAAGCTGAGAATTACACTGTCGTCATAGCAGTCAACACATAACGTTGATGTGGTGGGTGAGCACTGTGCATGTCTGTGAAAGTGCGGAAGGCAAGCATGGTGGTGCACTTCTCAGATTCTGGCTTCTTGGGAGCCTGAGGCAGGATGATTGCAAATTTGAGACCAATCTGTACAAGTTAGCCAGACACTGTCTTAAAATAAAAGGATCTGGAGACTGAACTCATTTCAAGGCCTGGGTTCAATCCCCAATGCAAGAGAAGAGGAAGGAGATTATAGGTAGTTCATCATGTTATTTCTGATGACTGTAGTCAGTTGGTCAGATTTGTATTTTTCCATTGCTGGGACAAAACCCCTGAGAGACAGTTTAAAGGAGGGAAGGGCTTATTATTTTCAGTGGGCTGTGACTGCCACCAGTTCAAGGCCAGCCTGGACTACATAATGAGACCTTATCTTAAAAAAAAGATAGATGATAGGATTAAGTGTCACTTGTAGTTATAAGGTCACAAATCTCTGTAACTCTGCACATGATTAATCAGCTAGAGTAATACTCAGTTTTACTTTTTTCCTCCCCAAGTACTGAAAATTGCACTCAGGACCTTCACACTGGTCTACATCCCTAGCACATTTTTTGAGAAGGAGTTTGGCGAAATTGTCTAAGCTGAACTTAAACTTGCTGTCTTCCTGCCTTGCTCTCCTAGAGGGGTAGGGTTATAGGCATTACCATTATGCCAAGCTTTGACTTATTTTTTATGAATACAGTTTGTTTGCTCTTATCTTTTATACCTGTATGAGTCATTATATACTTGAATATTTGTGCTGATGCTTATAAAAATGTTATTATTGCCTATTTTATCATGTAAACCCACCTATTGTGTAGTAAATGTTCAGCAAACAGTTGTTACTAAAGTATTAGCCATGGTAATAGTGATGATAATGATAGTCATAATCTCTCTAATAGTTGATAGTCACCTCTCCACCTTCCATGTGCCATCCATACACGGGCATGTAATTTATTTGTTTGTTTGTTTGTTTGTTTATGGAACTGGGGATTGAACTCAGGCCCTTGAGCTTGCCAGGCAAGCACTTATTCCACTGAGCCATCTCCCCGGCCCCAACGGGCATGTAATTTATGTAAGTTACAGTCTTGTCTAAAGCAGTGCTGTCCAATAGAACCTTCTTTCTTTTTTTAAAATTTTATTTATTTATTTATGTGTGTGCGTGTGCGTGTGCGTGTGTGTGTGTGTGTGTGGCCAGCTCAGCCCACCAGGGGGCATGAGCATGTGGTGCTGGGGGATTGAACCGCGGTCCCTGTGCTTTGCTAAGCTTGTTCTAAGTAGGTGCTTTAGGCCACTGAGCCATCTCACCAGCCAGAACTTTCTTTAATGATAAAAAGGCCGCATGTCTGTCCTTGCCAGCTTAGTATTCACTGGCAAAAAGTAGCTAATGGCAACTGTGTTGGACAGAGCAAGTATAAAATGTAGTGTTACCTGGGCATGGTGGTGCACTCCTATAGTCCCAGTACCCGGGAGGCTGAGGCAGGAGGATCCTTGTGAGTTTGAGACAAGCCTGTGCTACAAAGTGAGCTCAAGGCCAGCCTGAACTGCATAGCAAAATCCTATCTCAAAAATTAAAAAATAGGGGGCTGGTGAGATGGCTCAGTGGTCTAAAGCACCTACTTAGAACAAGCTTGGCAAAGCACAAGGACCACGGTTCAATCCCCCAGCACCACATGCCAGCCAGCCCTGCCCCCTGGTGGGCTGAGCTGGCCACACACACACACACACACACACACACACACACACACAAATAAATAAATAAATTTTTTTTAAAAAGCAGTGTTTTCCTTTAGTTTGATGATATATGTTACTATCTTTTACCCCAATACCCAAACTTTTAGGATGTTGTTTTGGCTTAAGCACCTTCTGGTATGCACAAGGTTCTGAGTTTGATTCCCCAGTACTGCCCCGCAAAAAAAAGAAAAAGAGAATGTGAATGTTTCCTCTCTTATGAGATGCATATTTTTATACTACATTTGTAATTTCTTTAAACCCAGAACTGGCAAATAGTGATTTCCCTTTTGGCATAAAATATTATTATTATTATTTGTGTGTGTGTGTGTGTGTGTGTGGCCAGCTCAGCCCACCAGGGGGCGGGGCTGGCTGGCATGTGGTGCTGGGGGATTGAACCGCGGTCCCTGTGCTTTGCTAAGCTTGTTCTAAGTAGGTGCTTTAGACCACTGAGCCATCTCACCAGCCCTCTATTTTTTTTTTAAGTGGTACAGCCAACAGTACACATGAAAGAGCAAACCTATAGTCTTATCATGTTAGCCATTGTTTTGGGTTTCTGTACCACGTGGGTGACTCCCACTGTATGAAGCAGGTACTTGTGCTGTTCCATTTAACAGATAAGAAAACTGAGGCAGAAAGATCTGATTGTTAACTGCCTCGAGGTTCACAGCTAGCTAAGGGGCAGGGCTAGAGTCTGATTCTATGGCACCAAGCTTCAGATCCTGTGCTCTTAACCATAGCTCCTTGTTTTACACTTCTTTTTTTTTTTCTTCATTACCAGAGATTGAACTTAGGACCTTGTGCTTGCCAGGCAAACACTTATTGCACTGAGTTATCTTCCCAGCCCTATAACTCCTTATTTTAAACCCCCACTGTTAATTGGTTTTGTTTTACAGTACAGGGGATCAAACTTGGGACCTTGTGCTTGCCAAGCAGGTGCTTGCTAATTGTGTTTTAGAACTCAGACTTTTTCAGGTTTTAGGATGATCTGTATACCTTTAAATATATCTGGTAGAGTATGGGGAGTGCCCTGTAATCAGACAAGTTCTACCTCAGCGCCCATGAAGAATCACGCTAGGCAGGCTAAATAAGGACTACATAGCCTTGACACTTCAGGTCAAGTTTTGTTATCAAATTATTTGGGGTGGGACAGAATTTTGAGGATTTGGGAATTTCAAATAAGGAGTTAAAGATCTATACTACATATACCCTCTCACAGAGGCCTTTGTCAAATGGAGTGAGTGACTTTTGGGGTTTTTTGTTTGTTTGTTTGCTTGGTTTTATGGCAGGACCAGGGATTGAACTCAGGCCCTTGTGCTTGCCCGGGAAGCACTTATTCTACTGAGCCATTTCCCTGGCCCTGTGAATGACTTTTGGTGGTGAAGCAAGAAAAGAGAGTTATGTTACATGCATATCCCCTCCATCCATACCCTCGTCCCTCCCTCCTCAGTGTCCTCTCTTGCCATTCTTGGCCCTGGGATTGAGCATAGGCCCTCACACTGAGCCACCTCCCCAGCCCTTTTTACTTTGATACAGGATCTTGCTGTGTTGCCCAAATGGGGCTTGGCTTGTTATGCTCTGCCTTAGCATCCTGAGTAGGAGATGAATATGTCATTCGTCGAAATTGAACTTAATACATCCAGCCTACCAAACATGCTGTAGAGCGTCAGTTGCTTACCAAGCATGTGGTTAACTTAGCAGAGGCTCGCTACTGCCACCCAGCATTTCAAGAAAGTATTGTTAGGACATGGCTGTAGCTCAGTAATAGAGCTCTTGATAGTAGCAAGTGTGCGGCCATGGGTTCAGTCCCTGTTAACAGGGAAGAGGGAGAGAAGGAGGGAGGCAGGCAGGCATTGAATTTGGGGTATGGTCTCTACCAAATGCATATCATTTTAACATCATTGTAAAGTTAAAAAAGAAAAAGTAAGTTGAACCATCAGTAAGTCAAATTTAAAAATTGGAGGCTATATTTAATAACTCAAAGTAGGCCTTTAGCCAGGAATAGTAGTGCACTCCTGTAATCCCAGCACTTGGGAGGCTTAGGCAGGAGGATCACTCTAGTTTGAGGCCAGCCTGGCTGCATAGTGAGTTTAAGGCCAGCCTGAATTGCAGAGCAAGACCCTGTCCCAAAAGACCATCCCCTCAAAAAAAAAAAAAAAAAGTTGCTCTCTCCTTTTATTTTATTTTTTATTTTTTTAAATCTCCCAAAGCCCAAGATTTTATTATTTTTTTTATTTGTGTGTGTGTGTGTGTGTGTGTGGCCAGCTCAGCCCACCAGGGGTCGGGGCTGGCTGGCATGTGGTGCTGGGGGATTGAACCACGGTCCCTTTGCTTTGCTAAGCTTGTTCTAAGTAGGTGCTTTAGACCACTGAGCCATCTCACCAGCCCCTTATTTTTATTTTTTGGTGGAGCCAGGGATTGAACTCAGGCCCTTGTGCTTGCTAGGCAATCACTTATTCTACTGAGCCATCTCCCTAGCCCCTCTCCTTTTATTTTAGGTAAGTAAATTAAACCTAGAAGAGGCTAAGTGACTGTCCTCTAACTCGGGTTCTCTGTGTTAATTATAAGAGATTATAAATAAGTGGTGATTTTCTCTCAGACTTACAAACCTAGTTTTGTCTGGCCCTGCTTTGTGAGGCTGGTCTCCACCTTTGTGTTCTCAGAGGGAAAGGTGATCTGTGCTAGCCTTGCAGCGAGTTGTGAAAGCCCCGAATTCTAATCACGATGTTACTCATTTCTCCTAGGCTCCTATCCTTCCCCCAAAGCTGGAGCAACTCTAGTTGTATACAAGGACTTGTTAGTGCTCTTCGGTGGCTGGACGCGACCAAGCCCTTATCCTCTACACCAACCAGAGAGATTCTTTGATGAAATACATACTTACTCACCCTCTAAAAACTGGTAAGTTACAAAAATAAGCTTCTTTAAAGCATTGGATTCCTTCTTCTCCTTGTTTGAAGCAGTCTGGCTGTGTAGGCCAGGCTGACCTTGGCCTTGAACTTTGACACCCTCCCACCTCATCCACGCTTGGCTTTTAAGGTCTCTCTTATATCATGGATCCATTGGAGAATTTGATGAAAAACTAACAACACTTCTCCCAGGCATGAAGGAAAGTGCTATATCCAGCTTTGGTCATGGTTTCAGAAGGTTTGCAGGGCCCTCATAGAACCATAAGTTCAGATCCCTTTTTTCAGCTGGGTGTTGTGGCGCATGCCTTTAATCTCAGTACTTGGGAGGCTGAGGCAGCAGGGTCACTGTAAGGCCATCTGGGCTATATATAGCAAGACTGTATACCTCAGAAGAGGAGAGGAGGGGAGGAGAAAGAAGGGGAAGAAAGGAGGAGGGAGAGGGGAGGAAAGGAGAAGTATTTGAGACAAATGAAAAAAAGACAAATGGATGCACCAGTTAGAGAAGAGGGAGCTCTTCCTTCAGCTTGGCTGCTAATTCCTCAAGAGTAATAGAAATCCCTTTGTACCTTTTTTTTTTTAAACGTATTTGGCACAGGGTCTCACTACGCAGCTTGGACTCGACTGTAGTGATCCTCCTGTTTTCAACCTCCCCAGTGCTGGGATTACAGGCATGTGCCATCACGCCCGCAGACCTGTCTTTTTATGTGGCAGCAGCCCTGCTACTGAGAGGACCTCAGGAAGAAGTGGCAATGAGTCTCCTACACATCAGCCTGAACCAGCCTTGTCTCTCCAGGGGATTGGTCTCAGGACCCTTTTTTTGGCTGGCTCAGGCTGCCTTAAAGGCAGGTCTGATAAGGCAGGGGTTGAAGAACAACTGAGCTAACCGGCAGACTCCTTTTCTCTGAGGGCTTGAAAGTTAACAAATATACCTCCAATTCCTGGTACCAAAAAAAAAGTTTTCAGGAAAGGCACAAACACATTGCCCCGCCACCAACTCCCTTTTTGATACTGGGGATTGAATGCCGTATCTTCATACTGAGCTCTAGCCCCAGGCCATTTTTTGAGACAGGGTCTCACTAAGTTGTCCAGACTGGGCTCTAACTTGCAGTCCTCCCACATCAGAGTGCTAGGATTACCAACATAAAATACTACACCATGTTTTATGCTCCCATGTTATCCCACTAACATCTTTACTCGGGGTGATGGGATTATTACTGTGAATGGAATTGTTGCTTGCTTTACATACAGTCAGAAGCACATGGTGCTGACTTCTTGGTTTTCCCCTGTTTGCATTAGGTGGAATTGCATTGTAACGACCCATGGGCCACCTCCCATGGCCGGCCACTCCTCCTGTGTGATAGATGATAAAATGATTGTCTTTGGTGGCTCTTTAGGATCCCGACAAATGTAGGTATATTTGTTTGCTCCATTTTAACCTGACAGGTCAGAAGAATGAACTAGGGGCTGGAGCTGAGCTCAGCGGGGGAGTGCTTGCCTACTATGTGTGAGGACCTGGATACCATCTCCATTACTGCAAAAAAGAACAGAAAAAGAAAAAGTGGGCTGGTGAGATAGCTCAGCGGTCTAAAGCGCCTGCTTAGGAAAGCTTAGGCAAGCGCTCAGGGACAGCAGTTCAGTCCCCAGCACCACATGCCATGCCAGCCGTGCCCCCAGGACAGGCTGAACTGGCCATAAAAGAAAAAGAAAAAGTGGATTAGTCAGGGCCAATATTCCTAGCACAGTTCTAATTAATCCAGTAGTTATGTTGCCCTAGCACCCTGTCCTGTCGTCCCTTAATCGTACACCAGATAGGTTGGGAAATTTACTGCATAAAATTAAGGTTGTATTAAAAGTAGTTCTGTTTGACGTTTCACTGGGATCACATTCTGATGGAGCCTCTACCTCGTCTGCTGTACTGTGCCTACAGAAGACCACTTTCCAGAAGCAGGGTTATCCAGCCCAGGGCTGTAGGGGCTGTAAACAAGGAGCACGGTGGGCAGGACAGGTGGTAGTGGCGGCTCTCCAAATAAGATGGGCTTGGAGGATGGACAGGCACAAGAAAACTGTCATGTGTGATCTGCTTCGGCAAGGCATTTTTGCCACCCCATCCTCTCCACCTCTGAGTATCACTGGCCAACACAGGCCAGAGGCAAGGGCCAGACAGCCTGTCTAGTTCACCGTGCATCCTTCCAGCCATAGCCCCAGAAGTGACCCTTTTCCCCTGGCCTCTGGAGTTGATGGACTGTCAGCAGTAAAGTTACTCAGACCCAAGACTTCTGTCAAAGTACTCCCCATTTTCCTACTTTAATAAAACAGTCATGGAGACACTAAAGAAGCTGTCCTCCAGTTAAGGACAGTTTAACTTTGGACTCTTTTATTCATTTAATGTGAAGAGGGCCTCAGAAGCGACCATAAAGTAGAGACTGCCGTCCAGGAGTCTGTCCTTGTTCTGGTCTCTCGAGAGTTGGAAATGCCAGTTTGTCTTTGATCAAACTGCAGCTTTCATTACTATTGTGAAGTTTCTTTTTGTAGCCAGGATCAATAAAGCTTTTAACTCCTGGATCAGAAAAAAAAAAATAATAATAACTCCTGGATCAGGATAATGTTGCATACCAGCTACCTTTTGAATCTTTTTTTTTTTTTAAACTTTCTTTTTTGTTTTTGATTGATTGATTGTCTCTTATTTTTTGAGACAGGTCTTGATTGGTAGTTCAGATTAGCCTTAAACTCACTCTGTAGCTCTGGCTGGCCTCAAACTCATACCAGTCTTCCTGTCTCATCCTCCCAAGTGTTGAGCGTACAGGCACGTGCCACCACATCTGGTTTGGCTTTTATTTTTAAAAGACTACATACAAGCTGGGTGTGGTGTGTACAATGGCTATAATCCCAACACTTAGAAGACTGAGGCAGGAAGGTGGCCAGGAGTTCGAGGCCAGCCTAGACTATATAGCAAGACCCTGTCTCAAGAAAACAAAAAACCTACATAGAGGCAGACAGGGTGGTACACCTCTGCAGTTGCAGCGCTCTGGAAGGCTGAGGCAGGAAAATTACAAGTTTGAGCCTAGCTAGGGCAACTTTACAATTTAGCTAGATTGTATCTCAAAATTTAAAAGCTTAGGGATGTAACTCAATGCAAAGACCCAGCATTCAGTCCCTAGCCTCTCCACCCCCCAAAATATACAGCTTGATCTATAGCTATTTCTTGCTATCCCCAAATACTTAGTACTTTATATATCATTGTGTGGCCACTGACAAGATTCACACAAGGCCTATGCTCAGTGGCAAGGGCAAAGGTTTGAAAGTCTCAAGATGAGTTCTAGGGGTACCTCCTTTGCGGCCACACAGCTGAGGGGAGTGGGCACTCTGTCACCGCGATAGCACGGTGAGTGCCTGTGCTGTCTGGGGTAACAGGGAGGGAAACCCCAGAGCCGGGGAACCTTCTGTAGGATCTGCCACCTGCTGGCGGGTGGGGTGCGCCTGAGAAGGACTGGATCTTCTATCAAGATGAGTTCTAGAGACAGTAGAGGAAGAAAAATAATGGTTTAAGTGCTAGCTGTGGACCTGGCACTTTGCTGGATATATTATAAATGTAACTTCATTTATATCAGCTTTTTAGAGTAACAGTGTTTATACTTAATAGATACAGAAACAGAATTATAGGAAATTAAGTTTCTTGTTCAATCTGCATACTAGGACTTAAACAATGATCTTTTTGGTTTTGAAGCCCCTGAACTCTAGGGAGTCATTTCTGAAGCTTTCTCTACTCCAGACCATCTCTGAGTGTGGAAAGGTACAGATTTGCCAGCAGGGCACAGGCACAGGGACTTCCTGACCACTGCTGTGGTCCCTAGAATCTTCCAACATCCTGATCTTTCTGTCCTTATCTCACACAGGAGCAATGATGTCTGGGTCCTTGACCTTGAGCAGTGGGCATGGTCCAAGCCGAACATCGCCGGCCCCAGTCCTCATCCTCGAGGTGGTCAGTCTCAGGTGCTTAGGAATTAAAATAACCATCCACCAAACACTGTAGCATCTTTCAGTTAGAACAGGAGAGGGAGGAGGGAGTCAGGTAAGATGCCAGTAGGCCCTGAGCCAAAGAGAATCTGTCATTTTGTTTTTGCTGGTATTTAGTTTTCAGCTTCTAATGGTCATATTATTTATAGTAGCTTTATATTATACCTCTCTTCAGAGTATTTACTTTGCTGTTTTTTTGTTGTTGTTGTTTGGTTGGTTGGTTTTTTGGCAGTACTGGAGATTGAACTCAGGACCCTGCGCTTGCCAGGCAAGCACTTATTCTACTGAGCTGTCTCCCCAGCCCACTTTGCTGTTTCATTTCTCAAGCAACGCCTAGATTTTATGTGGCTGACTTTCATTTTTAGTATTTGAACAAAGAACGTATCCACTTGGGAATTACCAGTAATTTGTTCAAGGGATCCAAATTGACAGGCTTTGGAGAAATACAGACCTTCAGGTAACTAAAACATTCCATTTAGGAGCTAGGTATACTGTTTTGATATCACAAGCATGGGAAGTCACTTATTAATGTATGTCATGTAGGTTTACTTTAAATTTCTTCTTCCCAGATTGTCATCGACAATGCGACTATCTTAATCCTTGGAGGATGTGGAGGTCCCAATGCTGTGAGTATTGCTTGTGTGGTCTTTCCATGTGTATGCTGCTGAATATTCAAACCTGCTTCTCTGCCTTACCATGGAAAGTACACAAGACGGGGCTGGTGAGATGGCTCAGTGGTCTAAAGTACCTACTTAGAACAAGCTTCGCAAAGCATCAGGGACCGTGGTTCAATTCCCCAGCACCACATGCCAGCCAGCCCCGCCCCCTGGTGGGCTGAGCTGGCCACACACACACAAATAAAAATAAATAAATAAATAAATAATAATAAAGAAAGTACACAAGACTTTCTATAGCCTTTTCATTAGAAAATACCTTGTTGGGCTGGGGATATAGCTCAGCAGTCTAAGCACCTGCCTGGCGAGCACCAGGACCCGGGTTCAGTCCCTAGTACTGCATGTGCTGGCCACTGAAACGAGGCATTGGTGGCACATGCCTGTAATCCCAGCGCTGTGGAGGCTGAGATAGGAGGATCACTAGAAGTCCAAGCTGCATAGCAAATAGATAAAAGATTAAAGAAAAAAAAATCCTTCTGCCTGGGGGACTGCCCCTTAGCTCAGTTCTTTAAGTGCTGCTTCAACAAAGCAGTCAGTCTCAGGTTGCTGTGGTTCCATCCCTAGAACTCAAGCCAGCCAAACCTGCTCTGAAGGCATTTGTTTTAGTTTTTTTTCCCCTTCTTCTTCTTCTTCTTTTTTTTTTTGGTGGGAACAGGGGATTGAACTCTCAGGCCCTTGGGCTTGCCAGGCATGTTCTTATTCAACTGAGCTATCTCCCCAGCCCCCCTGAAGGCATTTGAAGGGGAAAAAAAAAAGAAGGAATGAAAGAAAGAAAATGCCTTGTCTACCCTGGCAGATAGCCTTTCATTAGAAAATACCTTTCTATTCTCACTGCTCTTTTGGGGAGATTATGCCATGCTGTTAATCAGACATTTGTCTCTCTCTCTCTTTTTTTTTTTTTTTTTTTTTTTTGGAACCGGGGATTGAACTCAGGCCCTTGCCAGGGAAGCGCTTATTCCACTGAGCCATCTCCCTGGCCCCATTTGTCTCTTGATTCATATTTTGATATTCATATTTTATATCCTGAATATTCATATTTTTCTTCCTCTTCTTTGAGCTTTAAGGTTTACAGCTATTCTTTTTTTTTCTTTCAAAAGGCCAGTTAGGGCCAGGGAAATAGCTCAGCAGCATAAGTGTCTACCAAAAAAGAGAGCCCAGTCTATAGCAGGTGGGTAATTGCCCAAGTCCACCTGGAATTCATATACACAAATGCAGTTTCTGCCAGACATAGTGGCACATGCCTGACATCCTAGCACTTCAGAGGCTGAGGCAGGAAGGTCACTGATTTCAGGGCCTGGGCTATATATAGTGAGACCTTGTTTCAAAATACAAAACAACAACAACAAGAAAAAGAT